AAAACCTCAACCCAAAAAAAAAGAAAAAAAGAAAAAAAGAAAAACAAACACACAGACGTAAATTGGAGAGCTTTTTCTTGAACTTTCAAAGTGGTACTAAACCCTCCTGAACTAATTGAACAACTCAGTAAGGAAAGTTTGTAGCGAGAAATTTGGATGAGGAACATTTAAAGTATGCATGAAAAATATTTGGTCTCAGTTTAAATATTTGGTCTCAGTTTTAGACTATTTGCTATGCGTGTTAATGTCATTTATGAGTTTTTCCAATTGTTTAGAATGTTCAATACAATCTTGAATGGGAAGGCAAATTTCATTTTTTTCATCTATTTTAGCTAAATCACATTTTGGTACCTAAAGTTTTTAGCACCTAATTATTCTATAATATTGTTTGCTAAAAACGATCCACATGTTCTTAATGGGGGAAAACAAGAACATGAATGTGACTTCGGGGTCTCTCCCTCCCACCTGCTTCATTTTCACCTATTTTTTCCATAATTCTCGTTTACTAAAAAGGGTAAATTTTATAAAACTATCATGAGGTTGGGGGTTTTCGAACAAAACAGTCATAATCTTTTGTTTTGGTTAGAAAGAACTACCATGAACTAGGACAAATGCGAAAAATACTATTAGCAGAGTTACCGCCTTGAATAAAAAGTCTAAAATATGGTTACAAATAGTGAAGGAGATGATAATATTGAAGATTTATAGTGCGCATAAGGGCAAAGCTATCCAAAAAATATCAGCTTGCCAACCACATAACAAGTTTCTTAGAGCATCTCCAACCATAAAACTCAAAATGGTATAGTTTTTACACCAAATTGGTGTAGTTTTTACACCAAATTACTATTCCATCTCCAACCCATTACACCAAATGTTACACCAAATTGGAATATTCCTCTTATTATTCTTATCTTTTAACATTTTTTAAAATTAAAAATATTTAACAAATTATATAATTATATAATTATATAATACATATAATTAATTATAATAATATATTTTATGAATAAAATAAAAATATAAAAATTAAATGCTAAATCAAATTAAAATATAAAAATTAAATGCTAAATCAAATTAAAATAAAAATTAAATGCTAAAAAAATATAATAATATATGTTACGAGCTCAAACTGCAGCCAAAAAAGTGGACGTGGAAGAATTACGAGAAGAAAATTTAATTTTACTGAAAGATTTGACACAAGTAACTGATCCAAAACTACATGAGTTTCTTGTACAAGAACAATCAAGAATTATGCATAAAAGAACTAAACAAGGTGAAGGATCTCAAAATACCGGTTCTGGTACTTTTGCCCAATATTTCGAGCATCTTCGTCCTTCTGATGATAATTTCCCAGAATACTAAAATGTTGTTTTAGTTTATGTTCAATGTTCTATTTTCCTTTAATTTTAATGTATTGCAATTAGTGTTAATTTCCAATGTTGTTCTAGTTTATGTTCAATGTTCTATTTGGTTCTAGTATTATGAAATTTTAAAAGAGTTCGGTTGGGGGAGAAATAGTAACTTTTTTTGCGTCAAATTGATGGGATGAAGTTCGGTTGGAGAAGCTCTTAGAAGCTTTCCCTCGTAGGAAAAGCTTAGAGTAGTTTTGTGCAAATTACCAAATTTTGGCTGTAGTTTTTTTTGAAACCAACACAATCAAAGAAATATTGTTCACAAGTTAATGTAATTTATTGTATTTATTTACTTCGTTCTTAATACTTTTTTCATTTCATGTAATTTGTAAACAAATTATATTGAAAGTTTAAAATAAAATGGAAGGATCGATAATATATAGCTTTAGTAACTCTGATTGTTTTCTGCTCTGTCGTGGATGATTTTTATGTACATCCTGACTAGTGTTATTTCAGAATCGGCGCGTGGACCGGTCATTATGCTCAGTCTATTCAAGTAAGCTTTTCCTCATATTCAATTACCAGTATTAATTATCTAAGTTCTTTTCTTTGCAAGACTTTGTTGTTCTTTATTAATTTTATGATGGAAAGGAGTACGTATTTTGGAGATCTTCAGAAGAGAAAGCTATAGATTATTTGTATATTTTCTTTTCCGAAACTAACTTGATAACTATATATAGAAATACTCAAATATGCTTTGGATTTACAGTCATGCATAAGACTTTTTTTCCTCTTTCTGTATGAAAGCTAACCTTAAAGTTTAAGGTGCTGTTTGACAAGGGGTTAATGAAAAATGGATAAGGGAAAGAATTAATTTAGCTAATCCTTCACGAAAGGTTAAAAATAATAATAGATACCGAGGTAAATGTTACGACATGGTTTGTTAACTGAATAAAGTCACCGGTACGAAACTATGAAGGAGGATAAAGGAAAAGTTATTCACTATGATTTAAAAAATAGAAAAAAAATGTGATAAATTTAGCTTAAGATAAGTTATATCTAGATGGCCTTATTTATATCATTTTTGTTTCCTTATACATTATTATTTTTGGTAAAATAATCATCGTGCACGTTTCTATTTTCATTTCATAGACCACATCTTTTTCCTTACTGAACTAAGTACTAAAAACTTGAACGTTCAGTTTCTAATAATTGCTAATTGTTGGCTGAAAGTGTTGGTGAAAGTCCATCAAATGGAAAATGCATGGTAAGAATGATTGATCTTTTGAAAGGTCCTAGAAATCCTAGGTGGCCATTCATTTTTTAAGGGTGTATATTTTATCGGGAGATCGAAGTCTCTTAATGATGAAATCGACAATGGATCCTTAACCTACGAATCACGGAAGTTCACAAGTAATTGCGGAGAAATCTGGAAATAGAGGTTTTGCTCAAAAATGATATGAAGCCCAAATGTTACCGAGTACAAATCTCAGTTTGAACACTGTGTTTACGGGTGTTCTGAACTATACAGAGGGCAGCTAAATCCTCGAATTATTCTCCTACCCTTCCTGTGGCTTGAGTATTGAATTTGTACTTAATCTAGAAATCACAATCAAGAGTAGCAGTGAATATCCACTGCTCGTGATCCGGATGCTTGAATGTTCCAATATAGCTCTCACGATCTTCTGTTCAATTTCCAGTTGGTTTATTGAAAAAAAGAGAAAGAAAAAAAAGAAAAAGAGTAGCATTTAGTTTTTTTTTTGTATAAAGAAAAAGAGTAGCAGTTAAACAATTAAAAATTAGCATTTGATAAATTAAAATATTACTGATGTCATTTTAGCGGATGAATGAGATAATCAATATAGTATTGTTGGGAGTTTACCCGTCGGGGCTACGCAAAACCCCTAAAACAGCAGAAACACAGTATAGAGAAAAGTACACCAAGATTTAACGAGGTTTGGCAACTACCTAAGTCTTTGGGAGCCACACAATAAATTTCTTATTAATCAACAAGAAATTACAAAGCAAGAGCAGATCTTAAACTTGGGATCTCTCAATAAATGCTAATTAATCACTGTAGCTACAGTAATTAATTTCCTCTCTTTTACAACCCCTCTTTAATATCTCCTTAATAAATCCCCTTCTCAAATCAAGCCCCCTTTTCTCAAATCTTGAGAACGAAAAAGGCAGAGAGAGGGGGAGAGAGATTGTCGCCGCAAAAAAGAAAGAGAGAGAGGGGGGGGGGGGGGGGGGGG